TCTTCCAAAAGCCGTCTCAAAAAATGCATTTTTTTAATGCATTTTTGGCTGCAGCATTCCAATTTCCGGTTTGTATAAGATAAAAAGTAGGGACATTTAAAAAAAAAATTTGGAAGCGAAAGCAAAAAACCGCGTTCCGATCGGTCTTAGTCTAAAAAATTCCGAACTTTTGGCCTTTTTACTGCTTCATTACCTCGACTAACAGTTATAAAGCAAACTATTTAAAAGGTTTAAAACATATCAAATAAATGATAACCAATATTATTTAATAATAATTATTAAAATCAACTAGTTATGTATGAGCCCATAACTTATTATACAAAAAATGTACATATTATAAAAAGTATTCCTCTAAAAACTAACTGAATACTTAACATTAACATTAGAATGGCGTCTGCAGACCCAAACTTAATTGTAACTATTTCCGTAATTATACCGTATATCATAGGTACTAATTTTTTAATTGTAGATAAAAGTCCAACTTAGTTCAAGCATTGATTTTTTTAAATTAATTGTTTTTAATTAAAAACGTGTGGTAGAAAATGGCCTATTTTTAGACCTTTTTCATTGTAAGAATAAACTACAAATTCAATAAATTTTCTGAAAATGAAACCATGAACCACTTAAGTTAAACATTTTACTATCAAATTGTTCAATCGGAAAATACGAAAAGTATCAGATCTCCGAAATAGTTATAAATGAAAATTGAGTTGCATTTTATGTGTAATCCATTATTAAAAAAAATTTGGACTAAAAATGGCGTCGTCACTTTCCGAAAATAATCAATAATTAGTTCATCCCTGCTTCCATAGATGGATCGAAAATATATTACATTTCGCTTATGCTTTTACAGCATAAAAACGAATTAAAATTTAATAACATCAAATGTTTTCTTTTTTTAAATATATTTTATTATTTAAAAAAAATAATTACACTAAAACGAGTTAATAAAGTGACAAAAAGAATATAGAATGTGTGATATTAATTTACAGTCGAGCAATGATCGCTCGGTTGAATTTGGTTACGTTGTTGAGTGATGATATTTAGATGAGCAGCTGGGTTTAGATACGAGGGTTTTAAAAATAAGTTAAATTTTAATAATAAATACGATGTACTCTATTTTTAATTTTTGAATATTTTAACTTTAAAGTAGTTTATATTACAGTATCCAAAATGAATAGAGTTACTATTATAAGCAGATACAACAGCGATAGTAACAATAGTAGTCTTTTTATGTTGTGGGAGCTAAGATTCGGTATCGACGGAGAGTTAATGCATTAGTCACTCTGTTCATTTTCGTTACTGTGGTATATAGATATTATAATAGAGATAAAATAGAAATACCTGTAAATTAGACCACTTGCTTCTAAAAAAATAATCCCGATAGGATAGTTTATATACCTATTATTTTTTTACTTTCCTATCCCAACGGGATAGGGTATGAGTAAATGACAAAAATTTACATCAACGATATAGAAAAAGATAATCTTCACGTAGGCAACTTCATAATCGAATGTGTTAAAATTTTAAAGTGTTGAAAATAAATAAAACCTTTATAAATATACACCTTTAATAAAAGTACCACTTTTTAGTTTTAATGAGTTAAATATATAGAATTTCAAAACAAATCAAAATAAATTAGATATACAATATTATCAGATTAGCCAGGTACCTGTATTTCACGAAATTTTGTATAAATAAGTAAATTAAATAAAATCAAAAAACTTAAAACCAAAAACATTTTTATAATTTTAAAAAGATAATACATAATTTATTTACTCTTCGGCGGATCTATTTACTTTAATTTTCTACCTCTTCTATTTAAAATTATTTCCGAGCCCACACAATCCTCATAAAAAACTCTCAGTTTCTACATTCGATTTAAAATAAAATCATCAAAATATATTTTTTCAATAAAAAGGGGATTCTCATCTCCTACATAAACTATAAAATGGCACATTCTTCTTCGTGAGATACCGAGTTGTCCTTGAATCTAAAAACATAATAATTTTAAATTTATTAGAAATATAGCTTTCATTAAATTACTTTGAAATGTAGTCAGAAATCTCACCTGATAATAGTAAATGTGGTTTTCCCTTAAATGAATTTCACCATTTTCAATTTTTAAACAGGGAACCATTTTTTTCTCTACGGCCTCTCTCAGTGAAAGATTAGATGTGGCTACTTTTAAAAAACATTTAACCTCGACAAGTTCATCAGAATTAATTAAACCTAAAGTTATTAAACTATTATTGTTATAATACGTAAATAATTATCGCTTACATCAAAATTTGTTTTTTAAATTTATTTCAGTTTATGACCTCTAAAAACTATTATTTATCAAACAAGGTAAACGTTTCACAGGTTCCTGTATCACTTCAATACAGACAAACAACAATTGCGCATGCGGAAGCTTGGGAGACGCTGGTTCTCTAGAATCTTGTCGCCGGGTATACGATATCTCCCCACCTACGATCTTTCAGGCGTCAGCTGATTGGATAATTTTAATACTCCTCGATTAGTGATGCCACGTGACGAGAGATTCTTGTCTCTCGTCTCGTCTTGTCTCGTCTTGAACGAGACTAAAGAGACATTTTCTTTCGAAAACAGATTCGAGACGAGACGAGAGAGTGTCATCTTTCGACGAGAATTTCTCGTTTCTCTCGCTCTCTCGAACAATTTTCTCTTTGCTTATTTGAAATTTTCAATTGCTTATCGTAACTTAAAATTTTAACATATTAGATTTCGAGATAGTCCAAAAGTTAACTATAACACACCTATTCTATAGATATATAAAAGGGTAACAAATGATACTTGTGTTATTAGGATTTTATAAATAGTGATTTATAAGAAAAACTATTTCTCATTTCATTTATTTAAAATGTATACAATAATTTCTTATATTTATTCCATTCTGCTTTTCTGAGGTTACTTCTGAAGATAAGTTAAAAATTTTTAAGCGTTTTTTCAAAAAACTGTCAAAGAAAAGGTAATACAAACGAATGTGTTATATACGGTGAGGACGAAAATTGTACCCTCCTCTATTTTAACTTCTAAATGAAAAAAACAATGACAAAACAAAAACGAGGTAAAGCTCAAGAGATATTATATTTTTGTTATAACGAGATGCACTTTACTTGAGTCACGTAAGATAGAGGGAGTTACTAGCTTTAAATTTTCTAATGGAAAGTAGGATCATGTGATACCCCATTGTTTATTACTAAGGAAACGCTTCTTGTGTTTACTAAAATAAATAAATTAAGAATATTAAAGGTGATTTAAAATACCACTTGACGCATTAAATTTTTCATAACTTCTTAGCAAAAAAGAGCCCATTAAAAAATTCTCTTCTAACATTATCTAACATTTCTAGGATTATTGCGACACACGAAGATTATCAAAAATGTAATTTTTGTAGAAACAAAAAAAAAATAAAAACTGTTTGCTTGGACGTAAATATAATCAAAATGTCTTTCAAATGAGGTATTACATGACTTTACTTTCTATTAGAAAATTTAAAGACAGTAACGCCCTTTATTTTACGTCTCAAGTAAAGTGCATTTCATTATAACAAAAATATCATCATGTTTCTCTAATTTTACATCATTTTTGTTGTATGTCTCTATCTTTTTGCATTTTGAAAACATAATACAACATGCTTTCATTTGACATCGCAGGATTGCATTAGAAAAATTCTAACTTCCAATTTAACCTTTTCCCTCCCTCCCCAACTGACTTACAAGACAAAGTATTTTTGTTTTTATTTAACGCCTAATATGGGACACTTATTACTTCAATTGTTAAACGACTGTGACAGACGGACAGACAGAGAGACATAAGTGTTTCTTATTGCCAAATTTGGGTACTAATGCGCAAATTACTTGAAAAATTTTTTGTTTTGTCTTACAAATTTTATGTTTCATGTTTCGTCTTTTTCAAATTTAAATTTGAAATTGTTTTATCACGAGAGAAACGAGACGAGACGAGACAAGACGAGAGAAAGGCTCTCTCGAGCGAGAGAAGCACCTTCTCGTCGAGACGAGAGAACAGTTTTCTCTTTCCCTACGAGACGAGAGAGGCCACTCTCTAGTCTCGTCTTGTCTCGCGGCATCACTAGCCTCGATACAGAGTAGAGGCCAGTAAGGTAATTATTAGAAGTGTGAGTTTCTCGAAATATTTTAATTAAAACTGTCGAAGCCGTCTCATAGACGGCGTGTTAGTGTTACCATTAGTATTTTATATTTGTCTACAATGGATCAAAAACCCATTTACAACATCCAACAATGCCAAAAAATACGTCGTAACTTTTTCCGAAACTTGATGTCACGACCCATCAACTGATGACAACGGAAGATGTCATTGGCTACACGAAGTTATGTTTCGAATGAACTAACCAAACACAAAAATTCACAGCAAGCAATTGAACGCTTTCTACTAACCTACAATACAAACGAATTAATCTGTTTAAAATAAATGTGACCTTAAAGTTATAACTCCGGGCTAATCATACCTAGATAATACCCAGAGTATAAAATTAATATATACCTATATAAAGTTTAGTGTTAAAACAAAAGTTATAATTCAGCACACTTCCAACTAAGTAATGAATATTTATTATTCGTTTGTTTCAATACAATTTAAAAACTTTCCAGTGTTGGCTTCGATTCAAACGTATGCATATGAATACTCCAATGCTTTCGGATATGAATATTTCATATTCTCTAATATTAAAAAGCAATTAAAATGATATAAATTAAAATTTATTAAGCATAATCAAAATATTGTCTAACCTTTTTTAGTAACAACAACATTTTCCAATAAGAAGTTTAACAAATAAATAGGACAGTATATACGAGGTTTCTCAGAATATGTGGGTAGCTTGATAGCCTCCCGGATTCAATTAATGTAATTGTCCTACATAATTCTGTAGCGTAATTCTAATAATTTAGTCAGTTTAAGAAAAACTGTTTATTTTTATTAAATCTAGAATTTTGTTTCAGAGGCGACCGGGTCGTAGCCTGCAGGGTGAGTCGAGCGTAGAACCCATCGTTCGACCAATAGCACAGTTTCCTACTACATCGACAATCCACGCGTACTTTCCTTATCGGCGTGTGATTGGATATTTAAGTGTAAGGACAATATTCTTTATTAATATAAGTTTAAACAGTGCAATTTTAAGTATCTTCCTTTAAAAACGTGAGACTAAGTCACTGCATTCTTTATAGTTATGTGTTGTTGTAGCTTTATTATCATTAGCACGATTCATATGAAGACGCTATTTGGTTAAAAAAAAATGTTAATTTAAAAGTAAAATTTTATGGACATTCATATTTCCAACATTAAATTCTAGATAACTACAATTCGAGTATTGTTAAAAATTGAAATAGGGATGTGAAGGTACGAGTAAATTTCTTAACGGTTGTATACTCCAATTGCTCGATACAAATTCAAATTTGCTTGTTAGTTCAGAAACCTATTATTAATATTTTTTTATTAAATAAATTCCGATCTGATCTATTAGAAATATGAAAGCCATTAAAACTACTTTAATGGATTTTTTTTAATTTATAAAGACATTCATATTAATTCGACTTTGATAAATTGTTAAAATTTAATAAAAATTTAAATTAAAAAATGTATTCCGTGTTAACATTTTTCAATACAAAAATCCTAAATTTATAAAGAATAAAATGCAGTTATGCTTTGTACCTATTGAGGCCTAACTGCAGTCTGTTCTGTTGGTAGTCATACTAGTATTATATTTTATAAACATTGGAAGAAGATAATTTTAATTTAAATCATTTAAGCAATTAAAATATAAAACGTTATGATCATCTAAAAATAATGAATATGCTATAAAGAGACACCGCAACAGAAACAAAAATTCGGCTTCCACTTGGATAGAAAATCACTATTAATGTATCAATACAATTCAAAAAAGAGTTACATTACAATGCCTTTGAATAGTATAACACACAGATATTGTCTTAAAAATATTATTACCTCGCTGGAATGAACCGATATAGATGTACGGGACTATCGCAACTATAGCAATAAATTCAATGTCAGATAAAGGTAGAAAGTAGAAAAAGCCTGTGTGTTTATCATTTAATTTATTATTGAAGGTTATTTTAAACATTTTTAAATATTAAAAAGATATTAAATGGAACATTTTTAAAATAATCCTTAATTAACAAACATTTCAACTTCTACCATTATTAATAGATTTAATAAATAAATATTCAAGGTGCAAAAAAAAAGAATAAAATTAATAATTTTAGCGATTATTTAAATACCAAAAGCAAGCTACTGAAATATTCGACTTAGAAATTATAATTTTGGGATAAATGCTTTATTTAATTAATGTTTTAATGAGTGCATTTCTAGTTTTATCGAAATCAAGGTTGAACATTTAATAGCAAAGGTATAGGCGAAATTTGCAATAAAAGAGATGAATTTGTTGACGTTTTTTAGCTAAATTTCATCAAGTAATCAATTTTTTCGAATTCTTCAAACAAACATAGGCCAAAGTTTGTTTTTCATTTGCGGTGTTCGTTTATAGTTGACTTATTGTTTAAGCTATACCAATAATTGAGAGATCACTTTTTCAGTGTGTGTCCTCTCAGTCTGTGGTTTCTAATGCCATGATAAAAGTTTGCCTCGATAACACCTCCCTTAAAACAGGGTTAAAGTGCCGGAAAACCAGTTTTAGGCTAATATATGTAGTTTATTTAATTCCAAAATCGGTAATTCTTAAGATATTCTCAAAAATACAATTTAATAATTTCATAATGACGTTTATAAAAGATTAAAAAAATATACAAAATTTTAAAACATTAAAACAAATGTCAAATAATTGATTTATTAATAAATTTAAATAAGTGTACGTAAATTATTAGGCCAGTGGGTAAAAATTAAAAGGCCAAACATAATAAGATTCTTACTCTTACTAAAAAAATATTTTACTGAAAACCATAACCATGTTTTCAAAAGTGAAAAATGGTGTTGGTTAGTTACATTTTAAATCAGATTTAGGATACTTACTAATGAATATGTAATATATTTCATTTTTATTTATAACTTTAATAAATTATAAATAAAATAACATAATATCGATACCTTAATTATACCTTACTCAAAAGTGAACCTTGTCTTGTTTTGTATTTATGGAAACATTGAAAAATCGTCCACGTTATTTGTAAAAGATATGAACCAAACAGCATCTTCAAATATTCGTTTCCTTTCTTTGAATCTCATTCATCTATACGGTCTACCCTTACTGACAAATATATTTTGAAGACTCAAACAATTTTAGCTCTAAGGATAAATTGAGACATTTTGTGAGAGACAATATGTACTTTTATCACTACTATCTAGTATATCTGAAATTAAATTACCCTTATCAATGTGAACATGTAGCCTAACGTAGCTAATAAAACTAGATAATTTTTGGACAAGCTCGAAGGAATGTTTGTAAAAATTTCAATTTTTTTTTTAAATCGGATCGCGATTGTAAAGTCACACAGCTCTGTACTGCCGAAGTGATAATAATGTATCTAGTGTTGTATTAAAGCATATTGAATAAATATAGGAGAAAACTATTTTGATCACTGATCTACATCAATTTTTTTTAAACAAAATTTTTTAAATGATTACATACATTTTTCACCAAATAGGTATGTGAAAATGAAAAAAATATGAAAAAAAAATAGCTTATCGTTTATTTTAATATATTAAAACCAGAACTTACCGTTTTATTTTATCGGCATATCGCACATTGTTTTTAATATTAAAAAAAAATCAAATATCATTTGTATCTATTGGTTTTTTAAACTGCAATTAATAGATTTTTTTGAGAATTTCGTAAAAAATAAAATTACTAGAAATATTCTTTTAACTTCTTTGAATTTAAAATATAAAATGACGTTGATAGATAATTAGTGCTGACAGTGTCACTTTGTGGTGAATAGAAGACTTGCTAAAACAGAAAGTTCTTAAATATATTTTCATGCTTTACAAAAATAAAATATATAAAAAAGTTAAATAGATTCAAAAAATTGAATGTTTCGTAAAGTTTATTATTAATATAACAATAATATTTTCATAATACGAAAATTCAAAATTCTAAACAACACCAAAGAAAAATATGCCGTGCTCTTACGGATAGAGGTCCCACATTTTTGCGTAAATGCGTTAGTTTGGGCATCATACATGTATCAAAAGTCTGATAAGTTTTTAATTTTCTAATACAAATTCTCATCAAATTTCTATTATAAGTGCGCTGATTTATTTATTGCATGCCAGAGTTAATATATTTCATAATATCAAGATTATCCAGACTCCGAGTTTCGCAAAATATTTTTCAATAGCACTATGCATTTTATTTATTCAGGTAAGTAGTGCAGCTATGGGGGCCATGAAGCCACTACTTCGAATTTTCGCTGCTAGATGACCTGTTAGTGATGAGATTCTAAACTTGTCTAAGAGGTTTACACCGTAGATTATGATTATTGATGGTGGAGACATTAAGTGGTGTAAATTTAAAGTAATGGTCCCGTAGCCTCATAGCTATACTACTCAACGCGATTTGAATTTCAATATCGGTACTTTTATGTCTTATAATGATTTCATAAATATGAAATCGTTATACTGGTAATATAAGAAGCATTAGTTAAATTGAACCATCTCTATTGGCTCACAGCGAAAATAGATGCATAAAAATATGCACTGTCTTCCGGACGAATAGTAACATTTATTTAAGTAAAACAAATACCTATCAATGAATTTTTCTAAATTAGGATTATTGATAACAATTTTGTGATTTATCAGTACTTAGTCATATTATCATATCAATATACAACTATTATTCAGTATAGTATTATTTTTTGAATAAATTAAAGCTCACTTAAATTTAATACAAAAATTTTATAATATAAAATCAAGATGTAACGAATTATATTATGATAGCAAATTACCTATACTTTTTAAGTCGTTTTAATAAAATGATCTCACTTTTCAAAGTATAATTCTTAAGATGTTTTATCGCTATTAGCTGTAGGTTTAAAGAAATAATATGACTTACTTTTTGGCTTTACCCATCTCTCTATAATTACTTAATGTGCTTTTAATATAACTTCTATGATGAATTTGCGTATTGCTATTTGGAGAAATGCTTAGAAGAGAAAAGTATAATACGCACACAGCCCATAATATTAAAAAAAAAATCGATTGTGTAAGTTTAATTTATATAGCACTACGAAGTCTTAAGAGACTATAATGTATGTAGGTTAATAAAAAAAGTTAAATATACACGCAAGTTTACGAAAGCAGTGGAATCAGATACTGATATCATTGTTACAGGGTAAAAGGTTACTCTAAGTATAAAATATATAAAGCGGGATTATATTAGCAAATATTCCGCAAAACCAATTTAATTAAATATTTAAATTTTGTGATGACGTATTTTATATTTTTTGTCAAAGTGTATACCTTTCTGTCTTAATCATTTTGATAATTGTATCAAATCTAGACTGAAAATGATGGACAATTAACCGTAAATGTACACGAAGTCGTTAAATAGATTTAGGCCCAGTTGCGCCCGGCCCATTTGGCTCACAACCTTTTCCGGCTCACTTGCGCTCCAGAAAAAGGTCAGTTTTGCAACTCATTAGTAATTACGGCATTTCAGATTAGTATGTACTACTCGACTATGCATGTATGTAATTATTGTAAATTGATACCTACTGATCTGAAATGCCCTAATTACTAATGGGCTGCAAATCTGGGCGAAACTGAGCCGATTACCTCTATCTGGAGCATAAGTGAGCGAAAAAGGTTAAAAGCGCAAATGGTCCGGGCGCAACTGGGCCGACACCATTAAATAAGATTAAATTTGAACACAATAATAGCCTTGTAAAGAACACTGGAAAGAAGCAAAAACATAATTAACTGTTATTATTGTTTGTATTGGATGACATCTCGCAAACAATTAAAAAAGACGTTTAATTGATTCTAATAATTATAACATTTTGTATTAAATGAATGTATATTTATCCAAAAACTCCTTATAATATCTAATTTCCATTTGGAGACGACAATAAAGTCTGCTTCAAGCTATTAACAATAACAAACTCTATTAAGAGTAATAATCTCTGTGAGTTGTTCAGGACAAGAAACCTTCATTAATAACTGATCACCTACTTATTATATAGACCAGTCGAAATAACTTATTTAGATTAAAAAATAAAAAATAAAATTGCTAACAGGACTTTGATGGTAAATATAAATGTTAGAGGGGGCTAATAAATAAAAAAAAATGCAACCTGGGTTGAAATAAAGTTTTAGGGGGTTTAAAAGGGGCGAAAAATGGTATTATGGCGTTTTCCGGCGAAAGTTGACGTCAAAAACAAAAATGTATAATGCAAAAGTTGTATATTAAGCAATAATCTACATATTTTGTATAGGTCACATAACCTCAAACTTTTCAATAAAAATGCAAAAGTTCGCTCGAATTTTATATTTTCGTTTTTTATTTTTCCTTTTAACAAAAAAAATTTAATTTTGATGAAATTTGGTAAAATTATACCTTTTTGTGTCTTAAATAAGCAAAAAAAAATTAAATCAAAAAAAAAATCAAAAAATTTGGCGTTGTTAATTTTTTTCGGTCAAAAACACTTTTTTTAAATAAATTCTACGGTGAAAAATTATCGTACAAAATTCTTCAGGTACTCATTTTTTTCGTCTTGACATACAGTTTTTGATTAAATAAAAAAAACATGCTCAAATAGGAATAAAAACAAAAAATGACAATGGCAAAAATGAATTAATTCTTAATTATTGATATAGGGTAAAAGGGGGGTGGTGGCCGCTGGGGTATTGATAGCATCAAATATTTACGACGTAATATCATTTCACGTTTAATACCTGTTACGCCATCTATCTATGTGTAGTTCATACTATACCCTAAACAATTGCGATGTTGTGTCGGTAAAGTAGTAATTTTTTACAATGATTTTTTTGGTGTTGATGTATCAATGTCAGATTTTTAAAGGTATGTTAATTTAGTTACATAAATGGTACCCACATGTTACAATTTTAATGTAGTTTAAGCCTACATAAGAAGTTCTTGCTTTAATTTAAGTGATCAATGAGTGTAAAAAGGTATTTTGGGGTTATAATAGCTATATACGTGGAGGTAATTCTGGCCGGCCATTATCACCCCCAAATTGCTTTTATATACAGAGTATTTCTGTGTAAACTCTTATATTTAAGATGCCTTGAGTTCACAAAAGGAAAAGTGACAAAGCACGATGGAATGCTAACAACTTAGTGTAGCAAGAGAAGGGAAATAAATTAGATAAGGAGAAGAATAATGAGGAAGATAAAGGGAATAAAGAAAATTAGATACCTGATAAAAAGCTTGAATTTGACTCATTTGAAATAAAAGATACAACCACAATAGCAGCAGGAAGCAATATTCAAAAATAATGACATCAACACATTCTAGAAGAAAAACAGCGGAAGAAGGAAGAACAAATAAGAAATAAAGTCAACAAAGGAATAAAATGAAAAATTGACATCGAAGAGTCAACCCCTGTAAAATTCAGTCCGCCTCGAATAGTGTCAAAAAGAAATTGCTTAAGAACACAAAAGATCACAGAAGATACATTAACTGAAAATGAGGATGATCATGAAGATAATGATGATCGTAATACGGACGTTATTGAAAATACATGCTCAATTGGCGGCGAATTTGGTAAAAATAGAGAACTGTGGATCCAATTTAGCATTTGTCTCCTATTGGCACACAAAGACTGCATCAGTTTCGAAGGCAATATACAATTTGTGATTTTGGGAACTATTTTTAAATGAGGGTAATACTGCCAGTGGCCCCTTTTACCACTCGACCGCGGGTAAATAAGGCCACCTGCAGTAGTCGGAAAAATCTTTTAATTTTTTATTAGTTCTGTTTAAAAATATTTCGTAAATACAGTTTGAAGTATTAAGGTTTGAAGTTTTATTTACGTTACTATTATAAAAATCTAAAGTCATGTAACAGTATAAATAAACAGAAATATTTAGGCGGCCACTATTCCCCCTTTTCCTCTAATTTTCTTCATTAAAAAATAAATAAAAAAACTGATGAACCCAAAGCCAAAATAATGAAACAAAAACTAATTTCAAAAAAAGTCAATCAAATCAAATTTGCTCCTAAAAATGAAAGAACTCTAACTTTCCTTATAAATAAAATATTTCCTTATTCAGCCAAAAATATTATTACAAATCCATGCACCTTTCAATTGTATGGAAAACATATAAATCTGTTTTTTTATAAGGATAAAATATTTGGGTAAAACGCAAAAACAGGTCAATTTTTTTATTGTGTGCCTTCCAGTCATAAAATTGTTTTTCGTCCCTTTTAAGCGGTGAAGCCTACCCACTTAATTTTTTTAAATGAGATGATACTACTTGTACCTTGTTCGAAATCTTTTTTAAAAAGAAAATTGACTATGCAATTTTTTCTCATTTTAATTAAAAAATTAGGTAGACTTTAAAATGTGTCTAAAAATTTAATTGAGGGCATTAACCTTAAAACTTATGCAAACTTCTGATTTTTGTCTGAGGTCGGTCAACTTTACATTTATTAAAGAAAACTGTGTATTCGCTATGAAATTAAAATTAAAAAAAAAATTGCACCTAATTTTTCTTGTTAAAAGAGCTTTCCAACAAGATGCCCCAAGTAATATAATCCCATTTTAAAATATTAAGTGGGGTAGGTTTCACTCCTTAAAAGGGGTGAAAAATATATTTTAATA